TTATCCACCCATCTAGATACTCTGAGCTTTAACCTTTGAACAATTTAGACAGCCATAAAGTTATAAACCAGTGATCATTTTATGTATCCCCACTGAAATACTTTGTCCTTCATCATGATCAATGTAAATAAAGATTATTCATTAATTCACTCACTCTACAAACAGTAGTTATTTAAGGCTGACAATAAAGCTGAACACTAGGCAGAGCATTGAGGTTAAAAACAAAATCTGTTCTCCAGGACTTTATAGTCATAGACACCAATGGCTTCCAGAACAGTGTTTGACACTGAAGTTTTCAAGAAACAAAATATTAAAATTTCTGTTTATATTTTTATCTCATCCTTTTAAATGGCTATTTGGTGCACATTTTATATAGTACAAATATATTTATAGAGTTGTACATAAAAATATTTCAGAAATACAAAAGTTCAGATATTAGAAAAAAATTAAAATTATACTGATGCAGGCGTATGATGTAACAGTTTAGAGATCATGGTATGAACAAGTCTAAGTATGAAAAGTATAATTACAGAAATATATGAAGTAAATAGAGACAAGGAAGGGGACAATTTTCCTGAATGTGGAAGTTTAGGGAACAGATATTTAAGGCTGAGTCTGCCACATCAAAATAGCATGGGATTAGGGACTGTGAATGACAATGGTCGTATGGTTGATATGAAAAGAAAGCAGGGACCAAGTGCTACGAGCACTAAGAAGGAGCTTGCTCGTGGAGAACTCTGCATGCCATGCTTAGGAGTTGGTATTTCATTCTGTTGTCAACTGAGAATTATTGGCATTTTAATAAGGAGAGGTATATTCAGATTTGTATTTTAGAAAAATTAAAATATTGAGATTTAGCATTTTTCTAGTGATTATGGTGAGTTGGGCATTGTTCTGTATCTTTCATATGCACTGTGTTTGTTAAACTTAATGTTCACTCTCTATGAGGTTGAGACTATTTTGAGGCTTGTTTATATGAATAAAGAATAAAGAAGGTAACTTATTTGCCCAAGGTGGAGAACTAATGAATGGTGGTGCTAGGACTCAAAGCTGGGTTTGATGGACTCAAAAGTGTGCTCTCTCCATTGTAACAGTAGGGTGGAGTATGGTGTAAGGCTGAAGGCTATTAATAATCAGTTGTAAACACACCAAGAGAGATAGTGCAAGTCTCTCCAAGCTTCTGTGCTGAACCAGGACCAAGCATTGAGATTAGGAACTGAAACCAGTTCAGCAAATATTTACGGTATGCCTCCTGTGGGGATGGGTGGAATTCAGTATGGCCATTGTTTATATTGGCACCATAAAAACAGGCTATATTGTCCATTATGACATTCACTATGCCCCTCTTAAACAAAGATTAAGGGATTTATTTTCATGAAAATGTCTCTCTTTCTTGATAAACAATAAGATTCCTTTTACGAAACCATTAGAAATATATAATTTAACAAGTTTACCTGTATGTTTCAAGGTTCAGAAAGCTGAGTGTCAAAGTTAATTGCTGATTATATCACTTACAGTAATCTAACATTTCTTTCTTATTTCTACTTCTTTTGTGTATTTTAAAAAATGTATTCTTTGTAGAAATTCAACTTTTATTCAAAGTTACACCAATTTTTGGGAAGAATATGTCATATGACATAAATGACTATGTAAGAAAATAATTAAAAAAATAGTGTCCTACAATTTATGAAAAAAAAATGCAGCTTTCTTTCCTTGAACTGAGGACTTTTATCATATAAAAAAGCAAGAAGAAAAACAATTGAGAAAGTTAAAATATTTCTAATCATATGAGGTGTTCCAAATTCCAAACATCCATAACCAGGACTCCTTAGTAAACATACTTCTTCACACCCTGACCCTTAATTTTTTTATTAGAAGATTAATACTGTGTATCTTAGCAACCACACCTGGACCCAAGGCACATGGGAAAGTCTTGGCAGTATTCAAGGTCAAAATGCTCTAAGCTTAGATTGAATGCCAGGAAACTATATGCCACTTTGCTTCTCAAATGCATTAATACATTTGTATAGATGCAAAGAGAGAAAGAAAAAAGAGAGAGAAAAAAAGAAGGAAGAAAGGAATGGAAAAAGGAGTGAAAAATTCCCAGTGGATAGGTAAATAACTGTCCACTACAAGCCAACTTAATCAAATATGAATTTAGGTATCCATCTAATGCCAGCAAATAATTGGCTGACTTTTAGGTTTGGATCATAACTATGGGAATAAATTAGGAATAATTAGTGATTGCTGAGGGTAAAATGAAGATTGTGTTCCATAAACAAATAAACTTATTAGTGCCTGTATACATATTGGAGACAATACCTACATAGCATTTCATGGACAGAAGTACAGGAGCCCAGTACATCTTCCTAGTGCAGGTAGGTATTAATAGTTAAATGCTTCATTAGCAAAGTCATAACACTTTGAAGTTAGAGCAAAATGATAAGATAATGTCTTGTGCTTACTCTTGTTTCTTCACATGTAGAAATTAGAGAACTACTCTAAGGGAAGACTCAATTTCCAATGGCTATAACAAAGCCAGAGTCTCTAACTGTCCTAAGGGTGAAACAAGAGAGTGACTGCATATAGTGGAGGTTCCCTAAGATTTGGGATTGGCCCATGAAGTCCAGAAATGATTAAAGGAGTAAAATAGCCTAGTGTACATTGCTGAAACAGAGTGAATGGGTATTAATTTGTCTCATGAATCCTAAATCAGGTTAAAATTAGCAATCTATATTGAATCATTTTGCTTAGAGAAAAAAATTAAATTACAGTAGCTTGGAACACATTAAAAGAATTACATAATCTATTCATTTTGACTTATAATTTTGATCATTATATTCACACTCTGTGAGTCAGAGAAAATGAAATGCCTTAAATTTTTTACAATCAATATGAAGAATTGTGAGAGTGGATCTTAGTAAAATATTAGCTATTTAAGGTTGAGTTACTGGCTCACATAAGGCATGGAGAAATGGCTTCAGTCTTTATGGTGGACTTACAGAATTTATCCTTAAGCAGGAACACTTTGCCAATAGAGATTTTATTTTTACTTTCTAATATGATTGCAGGAGTTAAAAAACAGGGTGTGAAATTGAAAATATATATGTCTCCAAGAGCATTTCAGGGGAAAACACACACACACACACACACGCA